CATCAGATCACCTTCTTCACACTGCTGTCGGTGCTGGGTGTGATGCTGAGCCTGGCCGGCTCCATCCTCTCCTGCCAAAACGCTCAGCTCGTCCGTTCATTGGAAGTCTGCGAGCGGGTGAGGGGGCATTTTTTTTTTGGGGGGGGGGGTCTAGAAGGGAGGAGGGGGGCGAATCCCTCAGCACCATCCTCATCCCTAGGAGAAGAATTCCTGCATCTGCTGCCAGAGCCGCCCGGAGCCGCCGCCACCATCCTGCATCCCGCATGGGGAGACCCTCACCATGTACCCCAACCCCGACTGTCGCAGCGGCCGCCTGGCCCTCCAGGTGGGCACATCGTCTGCCCCCCACCCCAAATCCCCCCTTTCCCCCCTGCGCTCACCCCCCCTCCCTTCCCCTCCCCATCACCCCCAGGATCTCCTCTTCAGTGTCTGCGGTCTGTCCGTCCTCTCCACCATCATCTGCGCTCTGTCTGCCGGCGTTTGCTGCATCCGCATCTTCTCCCTGGACGTCACTCACGTGGTGGGTCCTATCATTGGGACCCCCCCCCCCAAAAAAAACCCCCAAGACTCCCCCCCCACCCTCACCCTGAAACTTCTTCTACCCCCTCAGTTGGTCCCGCAGCGATCTGATTCCATCACCTTGGGCTGCACGTCGCCACCACCGGAGCCATTCTTGCACAGCATGTTGGATTTGGAGGAGTTCGTCCCCCCGGTGCCCCCACCCCCATATTACCCCCCCGAATACACCTGCAGCTCCGAGACCGACGCGCAGAGGTGGGCAGCTGGGGGGCGGTGGGTGCCTGGGGGGGGTGGGGGGTAAGGGGGGGGTGGGTGACAGCAGCCCGTGGCCACCGTGATTTGTTGTCCTTGTGCCCCATTTCTTGACCCATAGCTCCATTGACACCGCATCCCATGGCCACCGCCGTGCCACATGGCCACTGTGCCCTATAGCCCCATGGCCACCACCACACCCCATGGCCACCACCACGCCCCATGGCCACCACACCCCATGGCCACCACCATGCCCCATGGCTACTATGCCCCATAGCCCCATGGCCACCACATCCCATGTCCACCACACCCCATAGCCCCATAGCCACCACGCCCCATGGCCGCCACCGTGCCCCATGGCCACCACCGTGCCCCATGGCCACTGTGCCCCACTGACACCATGCCCCATGGCCACCACCACGCCCCATGGCCACCACCACACCCCATGGCCACCGTGCCCCATAGCCCCATGGCCACCACGCCCCATGGCTACCACAACCCCACATGGCCACTATGCCCCATAGCCCCATAGCCACCACGCCCCATGGCCACCACCATGCCACATGGCCACTGTGCCCCATAGCCCCATGGCCACCACACCCCATGGCCAGCACCGTGCCCCATGGCCACCACACCCCATGTCCACCACAACCCATAGCCCCATGGCCACCATGCCCCATAGCCATCACATATCCATCCCATGGCCACCACCATGCCCCATGGCTACTATGCCCCATAGCCCCATGGCCACCACCACGCCCTATGGCCACCACCACGCCCTATGGCCACCGCTGTGCCACATGGCCACTACACCCCACAGCCCCATGGCCACTACACCCCATGGCCACCACCACGCGCTATGGCCACCACCATGCCACATGGCCACTGTGCCCCACTGACACCATGCCCCATGGCCACCGTGCCCCATAGCCCCATGGCCACCACCACGCCCCATGGCCACCACACCCCATGGCCACCATGCCCCATGGCCACCACACCCCATGGCCACAATGCCCCATTGACACCACACCCCATGGCCACCACCACGCTCCATGGCCACCATGCCCCATTGACACCACACCCCATGGCCACCACCATGCCCCATGGCTACTATGCCCCATAGTCCCATAGCCACCACATCCCATGTCCACCACGCCCCATAGCCACCACGCCCCATGGCCACCACCATGCCCCATGGCCACTGTGCCCCACTGACACCATGCCCCATGGCCACCGTGCCCCATAGCCCCATGGCCACCACCACGCCCCATGGCCACCACCACACCCCATGGCCACCATGCCCCATAGCCCCATAGCCACCACACCCCATGGCCACCGCCACACCCCATGGCCACCACCATGCCCCATGGCCACCATGCCCCATAGCCATCACATATCCCATGGCCACCACCATG